AAACCCTACACCTTACACCCTAAAACCTACACCATAAACCTTAAACCCTACACCCTGAGCCCTAAACCCTACGCCTTAAAACCTCAACCCTACATGTTACACCACACTCGAAACCCTAAACCCTGCGCCTTAAACCCTCAACTCTACGCCTTAGACCCTGAACCCTACACCTCAAACCCTCAACCATACACCTTAAACCCGCAACCCTACACCTTTAAACCCTACACCTTACAGCCTAAAGCCTACACCTCAAACCCCAAACCCTACACCCTAAACCCTACACCTTAAACCCTAAACCCTACCTAACCCGTAAGGTAAGACCCTAGGCTTGGCCACCGCCCGCAGCGGCAAGTACTTAGGCGTTAGGGTTTACAGGATTTAGGGTTTAGGGATTAGGGTTAAGGGTTTGGGGATTAGGGTTCAGGGATGTTACCCCAAGGATGAAGGGGTTAGAGTTATAGGGGATATATAGGGGTATACAGGGTTTAGGGTTCAGGGATGTTACCCCAATAACGAAAAATGAGCTGGAAACAAAATGGAACATGAATGAACACTGGGGTTCTATATTACGCTTTAGATACAGCAGTTGTATACTGTGAGGGCCGAATAACTGACAATGTTGTACGGAGGCCTTGAGGTAGCCTATATCACATTTCTACAAGGCAGCTAGGACGATAACTCTGGAAATTGTGTTAATGTAGACCCGTGATTAACAAACCTCCTCCTTTAAAGGGGCTTAATGTTCGGATCACCATTATAATCCCTATCAAGGGGAGGGAGTTGATTAATCAGGTGTCTGGGTTACCCCGATGCTACCAGGAGACAGCAATCCAAAGCGAACCACGACAGTAACACTACAAGGCGGCACTCGGACAAGCCTTCCGGCAACCATGATTTATAGGCAGGAAAGACCCCATAAGAACCCTAAAACCTTTTGTTCAACTATGGTTTAGGGTTTAGGCAGGACAGACCCCCGTAGACCCTCAACCCTAAACCCTTTTGTTCGAACGCCAGCTTCGACCTCCCGAATGGCGCGCAATTTTATTCTTACTGGTATTTATGGGAAAGTGTTGGGGGGGGCTTGGATCCCCACCATAATCCCCTTACCATACCCTATAATTGTACCTATAGATGCTCATATTCCCTGCCCCACTCCCCCTTAGGCACCTACAAGTCTTGCGCACAAGGGCTGTACAGATGTTGAGCGTCCAGGGTTGCATTGAGCTGCAGCCGGATGCACTGAACTCGCGACTACCCGGTGTTTAGCAGACAGTAAGGGGAACGGATCCCTCTTGTAGCCCATGCATAAAAGGCCCCAAAATTATCCAAACGCCATTCCTTATGGCAGAGGAACAAGACCAGGACATCCACCCCAGAAAACGCCACAATCATCAGTGCTTCGGAAGGTCCACCAGCCCTTCTTCTTCGGCTCACCGCCGGCCACTTCGGCATCCCTGTCCCCCATGTACACCTCCCCCTCACAATAATCTGGTCCGGGCAATGTA